CCGCGGCAACGGTGTGTCCTCTCCCCCCCGTGAGGGAAAACCGCCACAAGCCAAAGCCGCCCCGAGAGGGAAGCTCAGAGATCCGGGCTGCGCCAGGAAAAAACCGCCCCAGCCCGCCCCACACACCTTGTTCCATGCCGAACGGAACAAGTCTGAATATTCTTTGCTTATTTGAAGGCGCGCCAATGAGTGAGGCCGGCGTTCCTTCCCTGAGGGGAATAGATTTTTCCACCGGACAGAGGGGCCCACCCAGCCAGACGGTAGGAATGACCAAGAAATGAAAATTTTACAGCCTGCCCGTGATCAATAAATAAGGCAGCCTGCCACATGCTGTAGTTGTGCAGTCAGTTCCCTCCTCCTACCCTTGTTTTTCATATTTCATGCAGCCTGTAACATGGCATTTCTGTTCACAGGTATGAACTATATGCTCACACATATTTTCGATGTAAAGGCCATATATGTATCAATATATATGTATCATGTCACGCTAATAATCGTTAACTAGTGGTAATGTGTATTAACAGATAATGCAGAATAAAGGCAGTGAGCGAACTTTATAGATACTACCTCCAGTACAAACTACCATTAGCATTAGTGTACAATACGTATTATAGGGAAAAGTGAGGAGGAATGAACAAGGGGTTACTACCACCATTACCAGTTTCTAGCATTTGGTGTTAATTCTTAAAGAAGAAAGACATTACTAACACTTTTCAGGTAATTTACCATATCTGAAGGAATGAAAAAGCACGATCCATGAAGCCTACCTGCTCCCTCAAAGACACAATCAAGCAGCTATTAGTTGCATGGCTAAATACTGTAACATGAGTCTTCGTTGTACACACAGGAGACAGGTGAGTGGTGCTGGGTCAGAGCCTTAAGCAGCCAGACTAAAGATTTGATGAAATGCTCCTATTATGATACTTTGCAGCCTGTGCAATAGGGAAGCTGGTTACTTGATCCTCTGCTATACCTGAACCTCATTGTTGCAGCTTTTAATAGCTGAATATCCAGACCTCCTATAAAGGTGCCTTTGAGGAAAGAATGATGGGACAAGAGTCAGCATTCAGAGCTAGAAATGGGCAACAAGCAAACCATTTTCACTCAGGAGCAACTGGATGCATATCAGGTATGAAACAAACTAAATGGCTGTTTGGACAGAACATTGAATAATGGTGAGGGCTTTTTTTAAACAATCTCTTTTAAAAATTACTAAGTAGGAATACTAAATTACAGCAAAGATTTTAGTAACATAGTTTGATTCTTACATCAAGAAGAAGGGTTATAAAATACTCCTAATTACATGCCAGAAAGAAAGAACATTAATGCTTGGCCACATATATTACAATATAACTCCATTTAAGTCACTGTACTGGAAAAGTTTGGGCCAATGCATGCTAAAAACTGTCATTACATGTTATATCTTTTCTTATTTCATAGGACTGCACATTCTTTACAAGGAAAGAAATTCTGAGGTGAGTCTCGTGTGTGCGTTTTTTGTGTAAAGTACAGAGATTGCTATAAAGACCGGTTACGTAGAGGGTGAGGTATTTTTTAAAAGAAATTTAAAATTGATTTACACAAACTTAAAGCAATACCTTTAAAGTGATACTTAAAGTGATCTGAACATTTTTGTTGGTTTTTATGTACAAAACCTACGTTATCTATCTTAAACTGAGCCAGAATTCTGAATTTTGCATTAAGGTACCAGTCTCTATCAGAAAGAAACGTAACAAGTTATATTTTGGTGCATACTTTGCCAGTGACATCCATGTTCCCCTCACCTTGTTTTATGACAAATGCTTCAGTGTATACTGTTATTCTTTGGGATGCTTTGCCTGTTTTATGAAAACCTTAATGGTTGTGTCAAATTTTATTCACTTTTTTTTCATGTCTTCATGTACATAATTATCCTGATACTCTAAGGTGCATTCTTCCCAAAGCCTTCATACACCTCACTGAAGACGCCATTTAATCTCTGGCCAAAGGATCTGATAAAGGCAGGTTCACTATTCTGTTCACGGGGGGCTGAGAGCCTTCACTGAAAACCTCAACTTGTTCTCCTTTTGTAAAAAATACCTACCCAGATGGTAACGTACATAATATTGAAGTTGCATTTGCCTTTCCTAACCTTTGGCCACATTAACAGAAAGGGAAGTGTTCAGTTCCTGCATCTCTCAAGATGTCATCACACATTTTTTGCTAATTTCTCTGAAGGGCAGAGCACAAGTGACAATTTTGTACAGAGCGTGTCCCTCTTTAGAACCTTGATATCTGTGTATGCATTCTATACAGGATAAAATATGAATGGTTCTGTAATAATTGAAATCTGTCTGCCTTGCCATGTAGTAAATAGAGGCCAGAACCATAACTGTGTCATGAATAAGACATTTATTATTGATAAGGATCCCTTTTAAAATTCTGTCCTATTGTTTTGTTGATAACAGCTGTGAATGGGATCCTTACTCTAGCACAAGAACTGAAGCAAATAGCACGCTGAAAAAGTGGTGAATACATTCAAATTATTACGCACATTTTCTGCCTCTTGAACCTGAGTTCTATGGAAAAACAGGAAGATACAGGTGGATAAAAACCTGGTAGAGTTGGTCCCAGATCTCTTTTCCTGCCCTTGAGGTGGATAAAAACCTGGAAGAGTTGGTCCCAGATCTCTCTTCCTGCCCATGGCTTTAGACATTCAGGGTTTATTCTGACATTTAAACTGAATCTTTCATGCTCCAGTTGAAGCCTGTTATTTTTGGTCACATTCATTGTGGACGTGGAAAACAGATCCCTTTCACCGTGCCACAAGTTTTTGTGTGTTTGGAAACCGATGAGGTGGACCTTCAGGTTGAAGGTCTTGTGCCTTGTTATCATAAACACCTAAATGGTAACTACACAAGGTGCCTGAATACTGTTGCTGGCAATGTAGAAGTAAACCTGAAACTTTGTAAAAATCTGTTTTCATATACACAGTATCTAGTGGTTTGGCTGCCTGACCTGTGTAAGCATTTTCACCTAATTGTTCTGTAAGCATGAAGGCTTTGTATTTTTCACCAGTTACACTATGTTGCTCCTTTTAATACTGCCTCTTCCACCAACAACTACAGAGCATACTAAATGTTATTTAGTGACTGCTATCATCCATCTGGTATAGGATGCAGAGTGTCAAGAATGATACGGAAAAGGCAAACACATTGTTCTCAGAGATCTAAATACCTTGTTCCCTAAACAAGCCTTTCTTTCTATTTCAGACTGTTTTACAGATACCGAGATCTAGCCCCACAGCTAGTTCCACTCGACTACACAGATAAACCAGACGTGACACTTCCCTATGAACTCATTGGCAGCATGCCAGAGCTGAAGGTACAGAGCAAGGAACACAACTGGAATCGAGTGACACATTTCAGTTTATTTGGCCCATTTTTAATAATTCATCCAGTACTAATTGCTGGGAGGCTGAAATACAAATGAATTTTGGCTACTGAAGTCAAAAGTCTTTCTGGAAGCTTCTAGTGATTCCCTGAAAAGACCCTGAAATTGCACAAAGGTTAAAGAAGGCTGTAGCTGTGTCTACCTCTGATACAACATTAGACAAGAACGTAACAGCAGAAAGGGGAGTATTTGCCAAAAAGGGGTTACAACAAAAATAATCTCACTCCAGTTGTCTTATCTGTCCTGAAATAAACGCTAGTAAAGATGACCTTCCCTCTTGCTCCTGTGTTCTGTTTCCCAGGACAATCCATTCCGCCAGCGGATAGCAGAGGTTTTCTCAGAGGATGGAGACGGCAATATGACTTTAGATGATTTTTTGGACATGTTTTCAGTGCTGAGTGAAATGGCTCCCAGAGACCTGAAAGCTTATTATGCTTTTAAAATTTATGGTGAGACATGCATAAAAAATAAACTTTGGGGAAATCCTGCAGCTTCATGTAGGGATGCAAAATATTTTCATTTTGCCACCATAATGATTTCTAGTTAGGTATGTTTTTAATACAGCCCTTCTTTTCATTGCATTTGAATGCCTGTTCTCTCTCCTAGAAACTTCTGGTCTTCTTTATCCTTTTGTCTCTACTCTTTTCTTACTTGTTTAGGATTAGGATTTACTACAAAATTTACAACCTGAAATTATCTGCAGTTTTCAAGAGCTGATAAACATTTAAGAAATACTTCTGTCTGAGGGGCTGCTTGGAAAAGTGCAGCACAGGGGATTTGGCTGCCCATAAATCTGCAGGGTGGTTTTGGTAGGGGGAGGTGGGAGGCAGGGAAGCACACTTCTAGCCTTTTTCTCCAAGGACAAATTTAAAGATTTACTTTTGCAGTACCATTTTCAGTTACTTTCTTCATGATCAGCTAAAGCCAAACAATATATCAAACAACCAACCAACATTTTTTTTGTGATTTAAACTGTACATGATTCAGCAAAGATGTTAAAAAAGTGAACTCTCACCAAAATCGAACAGCCCATTCTCTTCCTTTGACTTCATACTATTTCTTGCATTTAGTTCAGTAGTACTGATTTGCTAGAATGATTTAATTATGGCTGGACTATGTTTAGCCATTAAACTATTTACAATTGTTACCCTTATGTAAGATAAGGAGAAATGATTCCAGGAGTTTTATTTTGTTACTGCATTTTTATAAAAGCAAATACAGCTAACTGCAAGACTTCATTTCTGATTTGAAAGTTCTACTTATACAAATACATTATGGCCTGGGAACCAAACCCTTCCTATTAGGTCTTGGCAGTCAACCATGTAAAATGCTGACTTTTGTCATTTTGAATCCATTTTGTTTCCTTTGTCAGA